ATTTCCTCCCTCTAAACCTGCTGCTATGCTCCGGTCCTATCTCCCTCAAATTCCAAATCTCTTTTTTTCCACTAGTCCTATTCTTTTTCATTGTGTCCCTGTTAGTTTCTTTGTGCTTATGATCATAAGCATCTCTTCATGGTTTATAACATGAGAACTGTTCATGACAGCTCATCAGTGGCATTAGTTGACAAAACTCCAGATGAAATTGCTTTTCCTTGTTTGTCCACATTCATTCATTTGTACTACATAAGCTCCAGGTAGCAGTTATTTCTGAGAATCTAAAATTCTTTAAAAAACATAAAAAATGTATATGTATGATTGTCTTTGTGTGGGTATGGTTATGTGATTCCAGTGTCCAGAGAGGCCAGAGAAAGATTTTGGATCCCCTGGGCTTGGAGTTACAGGTGGTTGTAAGTTGCCTAACAAATGGGAAATGAACTCAGGTCCTCTGGAAGAGCAGTGAGTGCTATTAACTGTTGAGCCACATCTTCAGCCCAGAAAATCTTCCTCTCTTCTAGATATGGTGTAAAAAGACACTGGAGACTTAAGGGGCAAGTGCAGGGTGGTTGCAGTTCTGTCAAGGAGGCCACCTCCTCATACCTGTTCTTTTCTACCTTACGGACCAGTCACAATATTGTGGTTACAGTACAGTTCAATCTTTTGGAGACTACACTGTTTATACTAATATAAAGAAAGGATAGCCACCTTTGTGACTTACCAAGGTTGATGGCTCTGTTTCCTTAGGTAAAAATTACATTGTGGTGTGTGCTCTCCTTCATCTCCTTCAGAACTGTATCATGCAGAAGGAGGTTCTGAGAAACCCAGAACAGCTCCTTAGAAGTTTATTGTTTTCAAGTTGCAATGGGGCACATCACATTTTTTTTTTTTTTTTTTTTTAGCATTTTTGAAGACATACAACCCTGTATTGTTAAGAGACCAGGCAGTACACAGTGAGAGAAGACTAGTTCATAGGGGCCTGTATTTTAAATATGAGCACTTTGGTCTCAGACAGTTGCATTTTGTTGGGTGAGGTCATTACACAAAGATCAGAAATAGACACTGAAGGTGTGCTGGTGATGACCTTACACTCCACATTTCATTGTAGTATACATTTTGGCGCACTCAACAGTCTGCTCACATGATTCTTGGCTTCATTATTTGATGATATACCATAGGACCTCTGGGAGGTAATGGGGGTTTCCTCTCCCGTCTCTCAGTCAGAGTGAAGGAGAGAAGCCAGCTCCTAACCACCTGGTGTTCAAGTGACATTAGTAGTCAGAGCAGAGCAGTGAATGTTCTCTATTTCCTTTCCAAGGCTCTGATGACGAGAGTGTTCTTATAATTTACAGGTAGCTATTTATATGCCTTTACTTACCATTATGCTCTACACCTTTCATGTGGTGTTCACAGCATAAAACAAAACCAAGCCGCCCCCCCCCATGAATCTTGTTATCTAGACAAGCCTCTCTCTTTTTTCTTTTAGAAAAGTATTTCATGATAAAAATACAATATCATGTGGGTGGTAAATGAAAGACATGCTTCCGTCTAGAAAACCACTGGCATTTACATAAACCACCAGACTGTCTGGTAGGGCGATCTGCTTTGTCAGTCTCTGGGGACCCTTAACGTTAAGTTCCTAATGCTCTTCTAGTAATAAAAGATCTAAATTGGATGATAGGTACTTGTAAACTTCTTCAACTGTTGATAGTTGTGAGAGTCTTAAAAAAGCCAACAAATGCCTGGATTGTTCCAACACAGAAGTGAAATGAGAACCCTTGAAGGAGTTTTCCCTCTGTGCTGTGCTCTGTGTAGCCTGTTCATCAGTTGCCTTTGGTAGTACTGAGATATTCTGAGGGAAAATATTCAAAATATACCCATGGAGCTTTGGAAAGGAGCCTTAAAGGAATTTTTGTGACTTTTTTCTTTTTTTTTCTAAACCTGACTGTGAGAAGACATTTGCAGCATTAGAAACCATCTTCTTCCTCATTTGTCATCAGGAAGACTGTGTTTCTGAGGTGGACACATATTTTGTCCTCAGAGCAGTCTTATAAGCCTCATAGAGCTTCATGATTCTGTAAAACCCACAGGTTCACATGTGTTTCAGAATATTTTGGAATTTAGTAAGGTAGGCAATACATATGACATGTATTGTACAAATCTCCAGGTGGGCTGGGAAAAGGCACCCTATATGCAAGCCAATTAGGGGTTATTTTTTTTTTAAACATGATTAGTCACACTAGGTAGAAGAAATTGGAGCCACAAATAACTGTCATGTTAATTCAGATCAGGTCTTGTCAGTAAATGAGTTTGAACATCATCTTCAGAAAACAACTTATTATTTAATATTTAGAACTGAGGCTTAGGAAACAAGGCTGAGCCATTACAGTGCCCCTTCCTAGATAAGAGGAAACAGGTCCAGAGATATCAAGTAACTTTCCCAAATGTTACTTGATCTGGGTTGTGGCTGTGTGGCTGTTTGAAAGAACAGACTAGATTTCTACTTCCTAATGTGGTGGGATGCCATGGATCTTACTGAGTTAAAAAGCTACTCTTTAGCATCCGTACACAAAACAATCTGTTTGTAGAGAATAGCATATATTTCCCTGTTTTTGTAAAAGTGTATATAATCATAAACATTTATAGGGAAAGATTTAGAAATATATTTACTAGACTTCTTACCAAGTTTATAGGTGGGATTGGTGAGATCAGGGGACAGTTAAGAACACCTTTAATGCTTTTTATGTTATACATTCCTGTGTTGTTTGTATACTAAAGGATGATGACATCTATACTAGAACTATATCTAAAAAGGAAAGTGGGTGAAAAAAGTTTTATTCCTTTTTAAATGAAAGATGATCTCTTTTTAAAGATTGATTTTTATTATTATGTGTGTGTGTGTGTGTGTGTGTGTGTGTGTGTGTGTGTGTGTGTGTGTGTGCCAGAGACGTCAGATCCTTCTGGTGCTGGAGTTACAGGCAGTTGTAGTGTTGGGAACTGAACTCTGGTACTCTGTGAGAGCAGCACTGTGGAGCTTTCTCCCCAGCTCCCGATTTTATTCTTGTTTCAGAAAAATATAAAGAAGCTTGGTGCTGTCTTTTCTTACCATATGGTGTGGTGATCTCTTGTCCCCTTTTTATTATTCTGTATGTATTACTTTGGTAGTGTTTATTCTTCTTAATGTAGGTAGTTATTTTCCCCAAAGTTTTATCAAATAACATTTTATACAGAATGAATGGAATTAAATCAGATATGATATCATTGTTATGTTGGAAGCTTCACCCCAGCCCCTGGCATTCATATAACCAAAGAGTCTGGGATGTTGGGGTGGAAGTTCTACCCAAGCCCCCTCCCGTACCTCTCTTCAAACCCTGCACCTCAGAAAGCCTGCCAAATGATGACCCCTCCCTAAGAGAGATGCTCAAGACCACTCCCACAGGGTATTTAAACTGCCTCCCAGAAAGTAGACTGTTTGTTTTTCTGGTCCCCCTTTCTTGTCTCCTCTCTGGGGGACTGGGAGGCCATCCAGGAGTGTTGTATCCATCAAATGTGGGCTTTTTCTAATTTGGTTTGACTTGGTCTGATTTGAATTGCTGTATCAGTGAATAGGCTTATTGGGTACAGAAACTTTTCAATCATGAGTGAAGACTATGTTCAAACTGCAAAGAATGAGACAGCAACATGAAAGATGAATTATGTGTGAAGGGGCCAATGGTGTTATGAATGTAATGTTCAGCTGAGTAGAATGAGTGCAATCTTTAGAATGTGAGAATTATTCCATATTCAGGCCATGTTGGAGTCTCAGTTCCAGTCTCCATACTGTAAACACATACAGGTGATGTGGTTTCAGATCTTTTCCAGTCCATTGACTGAGGGCTTGATAGGGTTCTTGGAACTCCCTATCCAAGGACAGGTGAAGTTATTGGCCAACTTCAGTTGATTTTTGTCAAGTCTGGTGACATTTTGGCCACTGTACCTGTTCAAATGAGCATCTTTAGCTCTATACTAGGCTGCTAGCTCTATGCCACACTCCAGGGTCTAAGTATTGGGATACAAGAGTGAGAAGGTGTACTATCTTTCATTATTGTGAGTGTAGAAGCAGATGAAGAAGTATGTGTACAGTGCTAAGTGTACAGTGCATTGTGGCATAAGAAGTCACAGCCAACTCTTCCCATGTGTGGGAAGATCAGAGAACCTCAACTCTGATCTGAGTTTTGGAAGAGAAATGTGTCCCAACAAAAAGAATGAGAAGATTGAAATGGTTCAGTTTGACTTTGTTCAAGGATGTCAGGTACTAGAGGGATTAAAATTATTCAATACACCCTCACTGGCTCAAGTAACATTTGGGGTAGGTTAGACTCATTTTTAGGCATTTTCAGTAGGGCTGCCAATGGTTTTACCAGAATGTCAGAATTCTCAGACCTGCATGTGCTAAGATAGGGGCAGGGCCACTTCTTGCTAGACATAGTACTGCAGTGCTCACAGTAGATGGAATGAAACATGATTGGTGGTTTAAAGGACTTGAGTTCAGGGATTGGGCAGGCATGCTTGGCTCTGTGAACTTACTTGGGGTTATGGAAGCTAATACTGAAGCATTCAGAACAACACCCCAGACACAGTAAGAGCTAAATAAGTTACTTCTCCATACCAGCTCCTATTGTTATTGTCAGGGCATGGGGTGGTAGTGGTGATGGTAGTGGTGGTCAGTAGATGTCCTCTTGAGATTTTCCTCATGTTGAAAGATTTTTACTTTCTAGTTGAATTATGGGACACTATTCTTGTGACTTAAGCATATAACAAAAAAGCTCAAATCCAAACCAAAATAAGTACAGTTAGCAGCTCATCAGCACAGACTGCTTAAGCTTCCAGCTCTTATGCTGTAATCCACTGCTCTAGCAGCAACTCACCTGCCTTCTGGGGCCCTGAGTTCATCCATCACTTCTCCATAGTGTTGCTGAAGCTGCCTTACTCTCTAGCTTCTGTTTTTCTTTGTTTTGTAGAGTGGTCCTGTGAATAGGAATGCCTGCCCAAATCCGGAGACCAGAGATAATGGATGAAGATCAGTTAATGAAAGAAGTCTTGGATAAGTTTGTTAATTGTCCTGAGCAAACATACGAAGAATTTCTGAGCACTTTTACTTACCTTTCAAAAGGTAAAATATTGAAGTAAACTTTTTTCTATAATATTTTTAATTAATTATTTGGGAATTGCACATTATGAGCCCTGAGCAAACTCACTTCCGATTTCTCCCAGGTCTGCCCACCCCCTCTCCCTTGTGATGTTCCCCCTTACCCTAAAAAAAAAGAAAAAGAAAGAAAGAAAAGGAAAAAAATGGTAAAAGAAAAGACAAAAAAATCAGTTTGTGTTGCTTATACAGTCACTGGAGCATGGTCAAGTTCCCAGTGGCCAGCCCCTTTAAGAAAGTTGCATGTTAAAGCAACTGCATCACCCCTAGAAACCATCAGTTGTGGAGAGCTACATGAAATAAGCTTGTTAAAGCAGCAGATAAATGACTTTAAGTCTGTGGCTTTGGTATCTTTTCAGAAAATCCATGAACATTCTCATTCAACTCCTTAGAGCACATGATTTTTACCAGAGACTTTGTGACTCATGGGTAAAAACACTGTCTTTTTTTTAATATTTATTATTTTTTATTATTTTGCATATTGATTCCAGTTCCCTCTCCCATCCCATCCCTCTCTCCCCACCTCCCCCCTTTACAGGGAAATCAATGCCTTCCAGGAGGTATCATCAAAATCTGTCAAGTCATTTGGAGTAGAGACTAGGTCCTCCCTCCTGCCTCTAGGCTAAGGGAGTATCCCTCCATGGGGAATGTGCTCTCAAATTCCTTTCCTGCACCAGGGATACATCCTGGTTCCACTGCCCACAGGGGAGACCCATGTTCAGGGGTTCTGAGTTGGTCCAATGCTGGTTTCACAGCTATAAATCTGGGGGTCCTTGAGCTCCCCCTTGTTCAGGTCAGCTGTCTCTGCGGGCTTCTGAAGCTTGGTGTTGACCCCTTTGCTTATCACCCCTCCCTCTCTGCAACTGGATTCCAGGAATTCAGCTGAGTGTTTAGCTGTGGGTGTCTACTTCTGTTTCCATCAGCCACTAGATGAGGGCTCTATGATGGCAGATAAGTTATTTATCAATCTTATTACCAGGGCAGATAAGTTAGTTATCAATCTTATTACCAGGGCAGATAAGTTAGTTATCAATCTTATTACCAGGGAATGGCATTTAAGGTAGCCTTTCCACTTTTGCTCAGATTGTTAGTTGGGGTCATCCTTGTAGGTCTCTGGACATTTCTCTAGATTCAGTTTTCTCTTCAAACCTATCATGGCTCCCTCTATTATGGTATTTTGTTTTGTTTTTTGCTCTCGTCTATTCATTTCTCGACTCAATCTTCCTAGACCCACATGTTCTCCTCTCCTTCCCTTCTCTGTCTCCTAACTCCCTCTCCACTCACTGCCCTCTCCTCCCACTCCCAAAAGGAGATCTTGTTCCTTTCCTCTTCCGTGAGGGACTTTGTATGAATCTCTTAGGATACAAGATTAACTTAAAAAAAAAAAAATCAGTAGCCCTACTATATACAGTCGATAAAGGGGCTGAGAAAGAAACCTATGTCTTTCCTAATTCAAGAGTTGTGTTGAAATATGTTGAAACAACAGATGGGTCAAGAAAGTATTAGCTATTCATGTGATTTTATTTTTTTTTAGTTGTTAAAAGTAAATTTAAAACTAAGATATTCTCCACATCTGGATTTTGGTGTGATCATTTACCAGCTATTTGACTTTGATAGGGTTAGTTACAAGAAAGTGGACTAATCATGGCACCTCCCTCAAAGGATGCTAAAGACTAAGGTTACACTGTGCAGAACTGATCATATTGGTTAACACATTGGGTGTGGTTATCATTGCTGTGATGATGGTGATACTGATGATGAGGATGGTGCTGAGGTTTCTGTAGACAGGAAACATTCCTTTGACCGAGGGTGGTATAGCCTGAAGTCTAAAATAAAAGTATGCCTGCTCATTCTATATAGTGTTGTTTTTGAATTGAGCCAACACTTAAATGCTTAATAATTTTGTGAAAAATAAATTCTAGTTTTTTTTTAGGTCACATGAAAGTATCTGGTGTCTGTGATTTCTCTTATAATAGTGTTAGTTGGAGCTCAGAAGCCCCTTCCTTGGAGTGCTTTAGTTCTATCTGAAAGTGTGTGCACATGCACACCATCTTTACTCACATGCCTGCCTTGGAGTGCCTTAGTTCCTTCTGAAAGTGTGTGCATGTGTTCTTCACTCATGTGCATTAGAGTTGTGTCCATTTTAGGTTCTGCTTCCAGTTGTCACTTTCAACGCTGGCCCTTTCTGGGCCATCAGTACACGTTTGAGATCTATGTAAGGTCATCAGCCCTCCATGGAATTACACATTAGACTCATCTGAGGGGCTTTTGGACTTTGTTATTATAGAGTCCACTCTGTAGCTCAGCTGGGCCAAGGAACCAGCATTTTGTAAAAGCTCCTCTGGTGACTTTAATGTGTATCCATGGTTGAGAATAGGGAGTTTCCTATCTGGAAGACCATGACCTTCATAGTAAACCTGATCTCCTGATTTGAAATCATGACTCGTGAACTAAACAGATGCAAAAGCAAGAAAATTCTAATGCAGAGAAGCAAAAGGGACTCTGACATTTTTGTTTGATTGTTCAAGGTACAGGTTGAATACTTCTAATTTGAAAATCTAAAACCTGAAATTTTTCAAAATTCATGATTCCACAAGTACAAAAGTCCACATCTGAGTTAAGTGTGTTAACTTAAGCCAAGTTATGGTAAAAATACCCATACATTAAAAATACGGTATGAAATTACCTTCAAACTAAAATATATAAATCAGAAATGAATATCAAGTTTCAACTTGGGTCCTTTCCCTCTCCCAATCTCATTTTATAGATATATTAAAAAATTCTCAAATATAAAAAAGCCCAAATTTTGAAATTTGAAGCCCTTTCAGGTTTGGGTTTCCCATACTCTTCCTTCCTTCCTTCCTTCCTTCCTTCCTTCCTTCCTTCCTTCCTTCCTCCCTCCCTCCCTTCCTTCCTTCCTTCTTTCCTTCCTTTCTTCCTTCCTCCCTCCCTCTGCCCTTCCCTCCCTTCCTCCCTCCCTCCCTCTCTTTCTTTCATTCTTTCTGTCTAAATATTGTCAATTCTGACTGTATTGGGCTCTTAGTGTAGTATTGAATCATATTTATCTGATAGTCAAAGAATAACATCGTTATCTATTTTGTTTACACATAAACAAAACACGTAGGCTGTGAGTTTTATTTACACTTGAGGGGAGTCAAGAATTTAGGACTGTTGATTAATTTGGGAACTGTGTTAATGAAATGTTTTGACATGATATGCAGATCATGTCAGAATGACAATTAGTCTGTGATCTTGGGCTTTTAGCATTTTTTTGTTAATGAACTTGGGTTTAGGAAGTTATTTGCTTCCTCTGAGTCCAGTGATTTAGTTTTTGCTTTCTGGACCCAACTCAGGCAATAGGAATGACTGGCATGAGATGGTCCAAATAAAAATAAAACTGGAAGAACTAATGAAGTTTGAATCTATATTACTTTAGATATTATTTGTATAGCTTATTTTATTTCTGCCCCATGGAATTGTAAAACCTTAGCATTAGCAGGCCCTTTATGTAGTCTGTCTTCAGATTCTGATTTGGTCATTGCATGCCGAGAAAGAAACTGCTTCAAATGTGGTGACTTCCTTTTGAGTTCAGCATGGGGCTCCAAATTGAGCTGAAATAAATGATGATGCGAGCCACATAAACTGCAGCTCCCAGCATACTAGCTGCTTTTTCCTTTCAAAATATCCCTAGGCGCCCATTCACATTATAAACTAATGACCTGAAAAAATTCCTCTAAAGCACAAAGAGTTGTATGTACAAAAATATGTCTTAAATCAGTAATTGTCCTTTTCCTCCCTTGAAACACTTAAATACCTCCTGAAAGACCAAACAGTACTTGGGGACATGGCTCAGAATTGAGTGATAGCCTGATCCAGGCCAATATGCTAAGAAATTGTGTTGTTTTCTTAAAGTTCCCATCTCCCTACCTTGTTTCTAGGCCCTTCATTTGTCTCAGTATGTTTGGATCTTTTGCATTAATCTTTCTGCTCACATACATGGTCATCAGGCAGACTTAGGCACATTTCCTCAGTAGGTTCAAGTTCTTAAGTCCATTACTATGTCCATTGATTGACTGTTCTATTTATGTTTATAATAGTTATATGCCAAAATGCTTATGGGATTAATTTCCTTTAGAGAAGTGTTAAGAGGGTCAGTAATCCCATTAAACTTACTTCTCTGGAAAAATTAAACTATAGGCTTTTTGAGAGAAATTCACATTGTTGCTGCAGACCCCTGAAACACAGCTGGAGACTCTTACTATCACACATAATTCTCACTACATTACACTGAAGTTGATTATATTTTGGAGACTTTTATTTTTTTTTACAACTCTAGATTTTTAAACCATGGTACAGATTTGATTATAAATACAATGTTTTATCAAAATGTCTAGAGATATTAATTACTAGTTTTAAACAGACGAGTTATAATTAAATTCTCAATAGTGTCTTCAGTTCAAGAGGATAAATTAAGTTGGAAGATATGTGTTAGAAAATCATTGTGTGGAGTTTTGCTTTTCTCATCGTGGAGACAGTATATGTTGTTGACATTGTGGATAAAGAGAAGTACCAAGTTTCCAGTCCTCTGTATCTCTTAAGAACATTCTAGAATATCTAAGTGGAAAAGTTTTTTTCCCCTCTATTTGTTAATTTGTATCATTGTAAGGCTTTTGAAAATGTGATTTTTTTTAAATAAATACTCATTCACTGATTTATTAAGTTGTTCTTTGTTTCCTTAGAGTCCAGGTATTGTTTTAGGTACTAATGACTCAAAAATAGATAGAATATAGTTTGTGTTCTCAAGTACTCATAGTCTGGTGAGAGATGAATAAACAAGCAAGAAGTAATGCTGTTATGTGAACACCATCTGTGAAGAGACATTCCTACAGTACTGTGAGAGTGTGCAGGGAACATCTAGGCTGTCCATTAGAGAGGGTGAGTTGAGTCAGCTACTGATGGAATTAGCA